TGCTGGTGGGCCGTCGCCACCTCCACCATGCGATCCAGCACCTCCTGCACCTTCCCGAGAGCCCTCACGCTCTCCGGCACCGACTGAAGCTGCCACTGTAGGCCTTGAAGAAGAGCCCCCAGGCTGTTGACTGTGGTGAGCGCTGCTCCACCTGCCTGAAACTGAGGGCTCTCTTGCATCATCTCCACCGCTTTCTGGGCCGACGCTGCCGCTGATCTGGCTGCCTCGGTGGCTGTCTGCTGAGGCGGTCCAGCTGGGGCCCCTGCACCCCGAGGAATCCACGCGACACGTTCTCCGCAGTGCGTGCAGCGCGAGCCCGACCCGTGCTGATTGCCGTAGCATTTGATTGCCGTACGAGGGCGGTCGCACAGTGGAGCTGGCTTGGGCGGAGGCTTCGCCGGAACTGCGGCGGTTGCCGCTCCGGGCACCCGAGTAGGAGGCGGCTTGGCAGCCGCAGGACCAGCCAGTGTAGTCGATAGTCCCGCTGAAGCCGGTGCTGCGGTCTGCTGCTGCTGCTGGGCTGTCATTGCCTGCTGGCTGGGCGGCGGCTTCGCCGGAACCTGATGTAGATGCTGTTGCTGCTGGACCTGCCCCCCCGCCACCGGAGGCACGACCGGCAGACTGCCGATCGAGGGGATTGGGGCCCACTGGGTTGCGGCCGCTGCTGCTGCCCACAGCGCTGGTTGAGCTGCAGGAGCGGCGGGTGCCCCTGCTTCTCCCAGAGGCTGCTGGAGTGCCAGCATGGCCTCGTCGGCGGCTGCAGGGATCGGTGGCGCCTGCTGGTCCCCGCCGCCTGCCCCCGGCTGCTCCCCGAGAGAGCTCACCTCCGAGTCGCTCACCTCGGCGGCCCTCCTCGCCAAGAACTCCTCCGTCGCCTGCCTCGCTCCGGGCGACTTCTTCTTGCCTGCTGCCGCTAGCTTGAGCGTCAGAAACACGAACACCAGCCTGCACGCCATCGCACTTCTCAGAGTGATCGTCGGTGAGCAAACTAAGACAGTAAGGGTCGTCTCTTGGATGCTGATAGCTAGGCTCGAGCCAAAACGTGCTACGTACACACAGGTAAGGTCGCCTCTGGAGGCACCTCGCATGATCTCTGAGCTTCTTTCCCCACGGATGTTGATGGCCCCGAGCGTCGCCTAAGCATCTCCGCCGGATCCTAAGCCCCAGGCCCGCGTCGAGGCCGCTACCTGAGCTAACCGCCCGCAGATCTCCCTCGACCAGTCCTGGATGAGGCTCCTGAGGACCCGCATCTTGTCTGTGGGGTCCTGGATGGCGCCCTTGAGGACCTGCTTCTTCCCTACAAGGGCCTTCTCCTTACCTACGAAGTCCTGACGGGCACTCTCGAGGCCCAGCTGCTTGCCCCCTGGGTTCTTCTTGAAATTGTTGAGGCTATTGAGCCTCGTGGCCGGGGCTCTCGATTGCTCCCTATTCCTGAGAAAGAGCCGGATTAAGAGGAAGAGAAGAATGATGATGTACTGGATCACAGTTCCATCTGGGGTCATCTCTTGGACCCGTCCGCCTTCAAATCGAAAGGATACTGCATTCAAGAACGAATGCTTGCTCAGTGCACCTGCAGGGGCCCTGCCTTTGCCCGCGACTGGGCCTACTATGTCTACCATCCTGTGCCCGGATCCGAGCATCGTCATGCGAATGTCCTCTTCGAGGACTCCGGACCTCAGGAGATTGGCTGGTAGGTCCACCACACACTCCGAGAAATCTAGAAGATTGACCGAGGGAATGTGAGGCACGCCCTCGTCCAGGACGGTCGCCTCGATGACTCCTAGCACGCCCCCCAGGCAGAGAGGAAACAAAACTGCGGCTATAACCTTTGCAGGACCGCCTACTCCGTGAGCACTGCGCAAGGGCCGTACAGACTCGGGCACCGTCACGCACTGGAGCCCGTACTCGGCAAGCTCCTGCGCCTCCTTGTTGAGCGAGGCCCTGCCGACGATGTCACTGCCCGCGCCGGGGTCCACGAGGCCCTGGTTCGAGGCCGCGGTGAGGAGCACGGCCCCGATCTCCTCCTGGATCTTCTTCAGCGTCTCCAGCTGCCCGTGCAACACTACCGGCAAACAGGGACCGGACGACGTGCATCCCGTGAACGTGTATCCTGCTAGGTTCTTCTCTCTCTCGTCGTCGGTCCTCCTGCTCGTGTCCGCCGGAGGGTTGGGACACTCCCTGGGCCAGTGCCCCTTCTGGAGGCACTTCTTGCAGTGCGTCACCTTCATGAGCTGTTCTAGAGACAGCTTGTCGCGCCTCCCAGACTGCTGGCGGTCACCTCGTCCTCGACCTCGCCCTGGACGCCGATCTCGACCACCACCTCGAGACCCGCCTCGGCCGCCACTGGTCGGAGCACGGTTCGATGTTCGGAAATACTCCCTGTCGCGCTTGGCGGCTCTCTTCAGGTCCTTGTTCTGTTTCCACGAGCGCTTCTTCTGCTCCAGCTGGAGGTATACTTCCTCGGCCTCGTCCCCCGCTAGCTCCAAGTCCTCGATCTCTGCCAAAATGGCTAGAACATCCTCTTCGCTCAGCTCGTCATCTTCTTCCCCTGACCCCTCCTCGTCGGACTCTGCCTCGTCCTGTCGATCGTCAAGGTTCGACTCCGAGGTGCCGCGCCGAGAGGGCGGAGGAGGAGGAGGGGAGAGAGCTGGAGCGCCTGGGCCCTCGCCGGGACGACCGGCTTCTGCGGTCATCACGGGGTTGGAGGAAAGAGACCTGCCTGGAAGTTGGCGCTCACTAGTACCGAAGTCCATCTGCCTGAGCGCCCAGGACGCGTGCGAGTACTCGAGACTCCCCTGCGTCAACGCTCTGAGATTCTGATGGCCTTGTGCAGATAGGCCAGCTCCTTCTTCCAACATCAGACCCTTCAACTTGCCTGAGAGCCAGAGGTCGTTGCCCTCTGCCTCCTGAAACTGCATGTCCCTCCTGGCCACGTACTGTGTCAGGGACTCCTTATTGTCACGATTGCCCTCGTACAATGCTCGTCGTCCTGTGCGTCTCATGTCGTCGCCCTCGCGCTCTCCGCTCATCAGGTCCATCCTCTTGAGCAGCACGTCGAGCCAATGGTGCCCGGTGAGCAGGTCCTCAGCTATGTCTTCGAACTTTGACTGCATCGTCCAGTCGAAGAGGCTGAGAAACTTGTCGGACCTGCGCCACACCGGCACGTCGTTGCCGCGGTTCCATCGCTGCATCGATTTCCTCCACTGTCTGTAGTGCGACCAGCCTGGCCATGCTGGCGGCCCTGCGAAATCTCCTCTAGTGGATGGTGCCGCCTGCCATGTGTTCTCCCACCCGTCGGAGGTCGTCCAGTCGTCCTGCTGCCACCTGGGTCGACCCTGCCACGCCTGGTCGTCCCAGTCCTTGTTCTCGGCGCGCCACCGCGCGTCTCTCTGCTTGCTGTCCCAGCCGTCCCCGTTGTCGTCGTGCCGCCGGGCGTCGCCCGGCTTGCCGCTGCCCCAGCTGACATCAGCACGCCAGCCTGAGCTGCGATCCTGCCGGACCTCGCCTCTGGTCCGGCCGACCGTCCAGGGATCAGCTTCCTCCCACGGGTCCTGGTCTGGTCGCTGCGTCTCGCCACCACCGTCTTCACGCCGTGCTGAGTGAACGCCCGTCGCCTCTCCGCCTCTCATAGTGTCCTGCACTATCTTCTTGATGAGCTCCTGTACCTGGGCAGAGAGCTCTTCCCCCGGAGGCTGAGCTGCTTGAGCGCCTGCCCCTCCTGGTGCCTCTGAGCGCCCCTCGCTCGCTGCACCGCCAGGGACCAGCACCGCGTACGCCTATTCGTCGTCTGCCGGCATGCCGGCAACTGCCGTGGATCCCACAGTCCGCTTCGGCGAGCGGGACTGGCCCGGTCGCTGGAGCGTCGCACTGCCGCCGCCTCAGCAGCTGCGGCTCGCGACACCCGCGCCGACCATGGCCTGCCCCGCTCCGCTACCAACTGTGGCAGCAGCAGGATAAAGCAGATGCCTTTATACCTTGAGCCAACCCGGCAACGGAACGAAACCAAGCTCCCGCTCTCTGTAGAATGAACTACACGCTAAACCTATATCTGTCAAAATGGAACTCCATCACAACACACACACACACTCAAACCTAGAGTCGGCGGAGGAGGAGGAGGAGGAGGAGGAGCAGGAGGAGGACGAGGAGGAGGGGGGAGGAGGAAGAGGGAATCGCCGCGAGGGGGGGAAGGTGAGAGGGAGAAGGCCTTCTCAGAAGGCCGCGGGGCTTCTCGGGTGGCCTCCGGCCTCCTGAGAGGTCCTGTGCGTCGTCGGGGAAGGCGTCGAGCACTTCTCAGAAGGCCTTCTCCTTCTCACTTCCCCCCCTCGCTCGCCGCCGACACAGGGAGGAGGAGTGGGGAGGCGCAGGGCGACGAAGGTGCTGTGGGTACGGGCGCGAGCGGTGGGACCCCGAGGGGGTCTCCAGCGCAAGCGGGGGGGGCCCATCCGACAACATGCACCCATAGAGGAGGGGGAGGAGGGGGAGGAGGGGGCAGAGGAGGGAGGAGGAGGAGGAGGAGGAGGAGGAGGAGGGCGGAGGAGGGCGGAGGAGGAGGAGGAGGAGGCGGAGGAGGAGGCAGGAGAGGACGGACGAGGATTAAGGAGGACGGAGGAGCAGGAGGAGCAGGAGCAGGAGGAGGAGGAGGAAGAAGAAGAAGAAGAAGAGGAATAATAGGAAGAAGAAGAAGAAAACGAATAAGAAGAAGGAGAAGAAGAATAAAGGAATAAGGAGGAGGAGGATGAGAAGAAGGAGAAACATGAGAAACATAAGAAAAATAAGAAGACCGGCATTCGGCATTCCAGTCCAGGAGCTCTGAGGGCCAAGCGCGCTCCGCTACTCGGAGAGCAACTACTCGCAGATGGCCTGGATCCGCCGAAGGGAGATCTACGATCCATCACACAGGGGCGGGCATGTGCGCTTTTCTTTCTGGCGTCTGCGAAAAGGCACTTTGCGAGTAGTGGAACGCGCTCGGTGAGTATGGGTGTTGGTTGTCAGCTCGGCGCCGAAAAGCCGCCGCCGCCGCCGCCGACCGCCGCGGGCACCATGTGCGGCACCGCCTGGGCGGGTCGAGAGGAGGAGGAGGAGGAGGAGGAGGAGGAGGAGGAGGAGCAGGAGGAGGAGGAGGAGGTCTCTTCGGGTGGGGTTAAGCAGCCCAGTGCAAGACGCTTTCAAATCTTTGGATAAGAGCTCGTTACCGTCGGACTGGCTCGCGCTCCCCTCCTCCGCACGCCCCTCCCTCCCCCCCTCTCCACCGGGCAGCCCTGAGCGACGGTGCGCCGTCGAGGCCGGCCACAAAGTGTGGGAACGTTGAGGCCGGCCACCCGTCGAGGCTGGCCACTCTTCCTCCCTCCCTCCCTCCCTACCTGCCTCCTCCCTCCCCCTCCCTCCCTCCCTCCCTCCCTGCCTCCCCTCCCTCGAGCGCTCGAGCGTGCCCAGAGGCCATGCAAAGCACAACCATGGGCGAGAGGAGGCTCGCCGAGGGGCGGAGGAAGCTGAAGGGGCCCAAGGACACACAAATAAATGCACACAGATAACAGAATCCCCCATATTTCCCCATATTTTCTGGGTTTCTGTCTTCCCGCCCACTTCCCATATGTTCCCGTATTTTCTGGGGAATCGAGGATTCATTGTGTCTGTGTGTTTCTTTTCCTCCCGAGGAGTTCGCGGGGGAAGAAAGAGCCGAGAGGAGGAGAGACAAAGGGGGGGGCAGCAGACTGGTGCTTCCGAACCCCTGCAGCTGAACCAGGAAGCAAACGACACCACCCCGCCGACGGCCCCACGGGGCTTCGCGCATGCCAGGAAATCCCGCGCGGGCTTGTTGCAGGGTAGGCGCTGCGGCCCCCGATGGGCTGCAGCGCAACATTAGAAGAAAGCGCGGCATGAACATACATGTTTGGTGTTTTTTCAAACGTGGAGGGCCGTAGGTGGACTGGTGTCGCTTGTTTATTGGTCGATGCAGCCCTCCCCGCGCCCTGCGGAAGCCTTCGTCCACAGAGGCCTGCCTCCGGGCCAGGAGGTCCCGTCCCTCCCGCCCGCCCTCCAGGAGGAGCGACAGAACTTCCACGAAGAGACACAGAGTCTTCCCACTCACCTCAAGTAGGGGATCGCCCACATAATTGATTTTTCCTAACAATAATTCTTCGACGGAACCATGACAACATGCTACGCCTTTTTGGGGATACTCGACGAGAAAACCAATTCTGGGGTACATCCTCTCTGCAGTCGATTCCCCTCCTTGATCACCCGCCGGAGCGTTCCCGGCCACAGCGTCGGAGCGGCCAGGGAAAGAGTCGATCTGGCGGGCGGCGGCAAACTGCAAGCGCACCCACTCCGCTTCTCACTCCAGAGGGGAGAAAATCCTCTCCCATAATATTCATCCCGACAAGCGAAGCCGGGCAGTAAACGCACCCGTGGAAGGAATCGAACAGGGCAGGGCTGTTCCCTCAACGCCCAAGGCCGTTTAGTAGGACCGTTTGGTAAGCGTCATTTGTCGGGTCTGGGCGGATTTCCCTCCCTTGACTGAGAAGTCCCGCCGCCTTCTGAGAAGGCCTTCTCCTTCTCACTGCCCCCCTCGCGACGATTCCCTCCTCTTTCTCCTCCCCCCTCCTTCTCCTCCTCCTCCTGCTTATCCTCCTCCTCCTCCTCCTTTTCCTTTTCCTCCTCCTCCTCCTCCTCCTCCTCCTTCCTTCCTTCCTTCCTTCCGACCGCTTCACGCGCGCCCTCGGGTCGGGCGGCGCGGCCGGCCGGGCCCCGCGGCGCGGCCCTCAAACATCGTGGGCTATGCCCACGGACCCCCCCTCCCTCGGGGCCGGGGGCCAGTCGGCTAGCGCCCGACGCCTGAGCGGGGGGCGCCCCACCTTGGGCCCCCCAGGGAGGGGTTGCCCGACGGCCCCCCCAGGTCATGGCGGAGTGCCGCGCGGGCAGGACCCCCGGCAGCCCCGCCGGGGGAGGCTGGGTTGCTGCCGGTGGGGACTCGGCCCGGTGCGGAAGGGCGACGATTGGACCGTTTCCAGATGGGCCAACGAACCGCAACGGGGGCGGGGGCCGGACGAACAAGGAACGGGGGAAGCGCAGGGCCCGGGGGCAGCGGGAGGGGGGAGCATGGGGGGGGAGGCGAAGGCGAGGGAGAGGAGGGAGGGGAGGGGAGGGCGCACCCAAGGGAGGGCCGGGGGGCGACAGGGCCGAGGGGCGACGGGCCGGGGGAAGGCCCCAAAAGGGGGACCCAGGGCCCAGGGCGCAGGGGCCAGAACGGGGCCCAGGGGGTTCCGCGGGGGCCAGAACGGGGCCCAGGGGCCAGAACGGGGCCCAGGGGGTTTCTACCCGCGTCGCACCTGCGTCTCTTACCTCCCCCCTCCTCTGGTTCATGGTTCCTGGTGGTTTGAGATCCCAGCGGGTGCAGCATCCCCCCCAGGGCCCGTCGGCCCCAGGGGGGTGATCGAACTAGAGCCAGGTGACCCCCGGAGCACCGCTCCAGGGGGCACTGACCGTATCGGTAAGCAACAGATGGGGGTACCGACCCCTCGCCCCTTCCCTTCTTCCTTCTTCCTCTCGCCCGCACGAAGCACAGACACGGCACCTACGTGGCACCTACATGAGACACTCGTCTACATACCGACGCACACACCATCTCCTGCTCAGGCATCACACCCACCAGGCGCATGCAACACATGCACGGCCCCCACATGAGACACTCGTCCTACCAAGATATACGCAGCACGACGCATTGCACGGCATCCACATGATACGCAAGTCCACATACGGTTCGACACCAGAGTGGGTGCGCACAGGGTGGTCCCTGAGAGCGGTGTCTATCCACGACACTGTCGCAAATCCTAGCAAGCGTGCCACGTTCTCGACGACAGAAGGAGTGCGCAGGGGGTGGTCCCTGAGTGCGGTATCTATACACGGCACTGTCGCAAAGCCTAGCAGACGTGGCATTTGCTCGACACCTCAGGGGGTGTGCAGTGGGTTGGCACCATGCGGACAATGGCTCGCAGGCTAGCAGACGTGGCAATTTCTCAACAACATAAAACGTGTGCACTGGGTTGGTGCGCCATGCGAGCCATGGCTCACAAGCTCGCAGGCGTGGCATTTGCTCGACACCACAAGGGGTGTGCTTGGGGTGGGGGCACCATGCGGGCCATGGTTACCAGGCCAACAGGTGTGGCGTGTGTTCGATACGACAGTGTGCGTGTGTGTGTATGTGTGTGTGCAGTGGGTGGGGGCGCTACGCAATCCATGGTTCGCAGGCTGACAGGAGTGGCGTTTTCTCCATACCATCCACTATGTGCAGTGGGTGGGGGCGCTATGCGGGCCATGGCTCACAAGCTAACAGGCATGGCGTTTTCTCGACACCACAGGGGCGTGGTTTGCGGGCCATGGTTCACACTTTAGCAGGCAGGGCATTCGTTCGACGCCAAAAGAGGTGTGCAGCGGGTGGGGGCGACATGCGGGCCATGGTTCGCAGGTTGGCAAGCGCGGCATTTGCTCGACGCCACATGGGGTGTGCAGTGGGTGGGGGCGCTATGCGGGCCATGGCTCACAGGCTAGCAGGCGTGGCATTTTCTCGGCACAGCAGGGGGCGTCAAAGGGGGTGGGGGGCGCCATGCGGGCCATGGTTCACAGGCTAGCAAGAGTTGCGTCTTCTCGACGCTACTGGGAAAGTGTGCAGTGGGTTGGAGCGCTATGCGGGCCATGGTTCACAAGCTAGCAGGTGTGGCATTCGTTCGACACCAACGGGGGTGTGCAGCGGGTGGGGGCGTCATGCGGGCCATGGTTCGCAGGCTGGCAAGCGTGGGGTTTGCTCGACACCAAAAGGGGTGAGCAGCGGGTGGGGGCGCTATGCGAGCCATGGCTCACAAGCTGGCAGGCGTGGCACTTGCTCAACACCATACTGGGTGTGAAATGGGCGGGGTCGCTATGCGGACCATGCCTAACAGGCTAGCGTGGCCGCAGGGGGCGGGAGCACCGTGCGGACTTTACTCACAGGCCAGCAGGCGTGGCATCTTCTCGGCACCACAAGCGGGCGGCGCAGGGGGTTGAGGCGCCATGCGGGCCATGGCTCACGGAATAGCATGCGTGACATTTGCTCGACACCACAGTGGGTGTGCAGTAGGTGGGGGCGCTGCACAGGCCATGGATTGCAGGCTGGCACGCGTGGCATTTGCTCGACACCACAGGGTGTGTGCAGTGGGTGCGGGCGCTATGCGGGCCATGGCTCACAGGCTAGCAGGCGTGGCAGTGTCCCGGCACAGCAGGGGGCGTCAGAGGGGGTGGGGGGCGCCATGCGGGCCATGGTTCGCAGGCCAGGAGGCGTGACACGTTCTCGACACTACAAGGGGTGTGCAATGATTGGGGCCGCTCTGCGGCACGGGGACGGAAGGGTAAGACGAGGCTCGCCGTTTCCCCTCACTCTCGTCCTCTCGGGGTCCTGCCCCGCTCTGGCGCCATCAGAAAAAAAAAGATCCACGACGGCACGGCAATCCTCTGGATGTCTGGGGGGTAGTACCAGTAGTAGTAGTAGCAGCAGCAGCAGCAGTAGTAGCAGTAGTAATAATAAGAATAGTAGTAGTAGTAGTAGTAGTAGTAGTAGTAGTAGTAGTAGTAGTAGTAGTAGTAGTAGTAGTGGTAGTAGTAGTAATAGTAGTAGTAGTAGTAGTAGTAGTAGTAGTAGTAGTAGTAGTAGTAGCAGTAGTAATAGTAGTAGCAGTAGCAGTAATAGTAGTAGTAGTAATAATAATAGTAGCAGTAGTAGTGCCAGCAATAATAGTGCAGCAGTAGTAGTAGTAGTAGCAGCAGCAGTAGTAGTAGTAGTAGCAGTAGTAGCAGTAGTAGTAGTAGTAGTAGTAGTAGTAGTAGTAGTAGTAGTAGTAGTAGTAGTAGTAGTAGTAGTAGTAGTAGTGTGGTGGTGGTGGTAGTAGCAGTAGTAGTAGTAGTAGTAGCAGCAGCAGTGGTAGCAATGGTAGTAGCAGTAGTAGTAGTAGTAGTAGTAGTAGTAGTAGTAGTAGTAGTAGTAGTAGTAGTAATAGTAGTAGTAGTAGTAGTAGTAGCAGTAGTA